TCCTATGAAATGGTTAAACAGAATACAGACTGCGAGCAGTTTGTTATTTTTTCTTAAATATAGTGAGGTCACGCGAATCCAATGAGAATGGAGAAGCCGCGAGAGGCGTGTCGCGTCTTTGCCGCTCCACGTTCTCGGAGTTGAGCAAAAGACAAGGAACTTTACTACTAAAGCGATACAAGAGGTTCAATGAATATCTCGATTATCTGAACACATTTCTTTACATGGTAAAGATTTCTTTATGAATCTATGAACTGATGCCGATCCCTTTGGAACGAAATTTATTTGAAAGAAAAAAAAATACGACGCAAAACAAAAGTTGTCTAGATCTACAGCACAAAGCATTCCTTTGCACAAAGACTCAGGATCGTAATGCATATTATGATACTTTAATGAATATATTCGAATGTTCCCAAAAATCTTCTGATAATCTGCCCGCACCCACCCCACACCCTCCCCTTCGCCACTGCGTCGTACTGTTTTCACTTAGGGGGTGGTCAGCGGTTCGTTTATGAGGTAAACATGGCAATCGCTTCGTGATCGCCGTCCTTGTCGATCAGAAAATCAAAAAACCAGTGTGATATTTCCTCGAAGATGAAGAAGTTGTGTTATGTGATTCGTACTTGACATTCGAGTCGAAGCTTGGTTGACACAGGTCATTCAATATGGTGGAATCGACGAGGGAAATTCGAACTCTAATTGTAGTGTCTGAATTATTGGAAGAAATGGTCGCATGGGAATGAAGGAATGGTAAGTTTAACAAACAACTGAAAATTTTACCGCTTCAATTGAAAGAAAAGTTCATTCAAATTGCTTCCGTATGTATTTGTGACGGTTTTAGATGTACCTGCTCAGTTTCTATCTGCTACACTTCATGTCGACAAGTCCCTCAAAATGGCGGCCAAACCTGGATATTGCCGAAAATTAGGCAAGTTCGCAGAGTTATAAACTATTCGCAAAGGTCGGGCCGTAATTTTTTTTTTCTGTATTTACTTTTTCTATGACGTCTACTTCCTAGCTATGTTAGTTGGATCAGTTATGAACGCCTCACTGTTTCAAAAATTTACCTTAAATTTGATTGGTTTTCGCGTGTGTGACTTAAGCAAACCGATAAGGTGTTATTCAAGTCTTCCCGTTTCCTTGATTAAAATGTGATGTTCACGAAATTCACCTCGATGGATAAGCTAGATTTAATATACGTGGCTGTGGTATTTGTTTTTTGCTAAGTTCTGTAGTTTTTTTTTTCTAATTGTTCTCCAAAGTTGTCTGAAATTAAAGTCTTGAAA